GTATAGGTACATAATATTATTATAATATAATATAGGTAGGTACTAAAAATTAAACAATCAAAACTAATAATGAAGGCTTATTGAATTTTAATTAATAAAACAGTTTACTTACTGTAAACATCGTTTACAATAAATAAATAAGTACATCTATTATTAATATCTTGTATATTTTTTAATATTTACAATCATCTTTATTTCTTATACATAATCACAAAAAAATTACATTTTTTTTATATACTAAGTACACTAAGGGCCATTAATACAATGTCCGGTAAAGTGTCGGTTAACACTAACCGTCTGATAACATATTTTATTACCGGCAGAATTCGGCCGGTTAAGTGTCGGTTAACTTTAACCGAACATTGTAAGAACGGCCCTAAACATATATTAGTAATACAAATAATTCTTAACTTCTATATAAAAAAAATTAACGATATTTACTATAATGTTTAAGCACTGAACTTAAATATTTACTGTTATAGTAATTTTATTATTATTATTATTGTCGTATTATACATTAATGATAAATACCTACTATATTAATATATTTATATTATATTTATATTAATAATGTTGCATTATAAACTCTCTTATTTCCTATCCATTTACGAATATGTATACCTAACCTATTCTATATCTGTTTATTTTATTGTAGGCAAGTTTAAAAAAAAAGATAATTGAGTATTTAAATAGTATCAGTTTTAGTAAGACAAGAATACTTCAAGCAATAGTGTGAGTTTCCTTTTACATTTAAAATATTGTTAATGTGCAGTTTACTTTAACTTATGAGTCAGTCACATTATCTATCTTCATCATCATTTTCACCCATAAACTAAAAATGGGGTATAATTTATTAGTTGTTAGTACCTACATTTTATAAATTGTGCATATTCATTTTTTTTTACAAATCAGTGAGCACAAGCAGATTTGATTTACGTAGCGTTAAAATAAAATTAAGTAATCTGATCTACAAGAATAATGAATTTGGATAATCGCTGTGCAGTAAATACCGGAGTTTGAAAATATGTTTTGTTTTAATTTTATAAATATTAAAAGAATCAAAAATAATTACTTGCACAATATTGTAGCAACAATTATCGATGAATAATATCATAGTTATAGGACATAATATAATCAACATATTATTATAATAATTGTAAAGTTCATATTATTTGTAAATTTAGGCTTTGTACCCTTATCATAGTACATTCGTATATATTATAGTATGTAGGAACCTAGTCAATAAAATAAGGTTTATTAAGTTTGAAAATGTTCTATATTTACATAAATTAAAAATATAAAAATAATATAATAATAATAATTATTATTATTATTATTTTAAACAATTAAACTTTTAACACCTGGTATTAAACGAAAAGCTTACCGGTTTTACGTAGGTACATGACGATGTTGAAGTAAACAAAAGGACAATACAGACCAAAAATGCTCAGCATGCAGGGCAACACAAAGCAATCTATAAGTGGCATTGTTTACTGAATATTTCCGTCGGTACTCATCGATAATAGGACTTTGAACGGTTTTTGTTTCGGTTTTTGAAAATAGACAATATGATGATATAATATCATCCGAGATCAACATTTAGTGATATAATGCATTTCGAATAATGTATAGTAATGTTCAAGATGGTACTTGAATAAATTATAAACATTTAAAAAATAAATATAAGTTTATTAATATAGTAAACTATCAATGATCTGTTATCTAAATGTATAATATGATAAACAATAAAGATAGAAAATACGAGGGATAAAAATAAATTGTAAAAGTAGTTTGGTACTTGTAAGAGGTACTAAAGATGAGAAGGGATTTTAAAGTACCTAAAATTAAATGATTGTACGGTTAATGGTTATGGTAAGGAAATCAATTTGGTTTGACCACGGACAATAAACGAAATTTAAAATTATCATGCACCTACGTTCAGCCATTGCTGTCTATTCCAATTATTCTGGAGACAATATAATAATCTTTAAGTGTGTGGGGATGCCTAAAAAGAAAACCAGGAAAACATTAAAAAAAAATTGCAGAACACGTTGAAGTCGGCAAGGGTCAATGCAAGCTTTAAAATAATCCTAAATAAAATGCATATTTCATGAAGAAAAATAATTGTTAATATTTCAAAACCTTGGTAAAATAAACAAACCTTTACTTTAATAATAATTTATAACAAAATTAACGGTAAAACAAATAGAAGATTTTAGTTTTTTAATACATTATGTGTAGGTAGGTCCCTGCTATATTTTAATTTTCAACTTTCATCAGAAACGATAATTTTTACAAATGTTCAATTAACAAAGAGAGTTGAAATTAGCACCCGTTATTATAGTAAAGTTCCTCCAAGATAAATTGACTAAGACTAAATGTCTAAATTACAGCATTAAGAAACTGACGGGAAACATTACGGGGAGGTACATATGGCATAGTTTAAGAAGATATTGTAATATGTATACACTATTTTGACGCGACAGCAGTTTCAAGACAACGAGTCATTGTATTCATTGTATACGGTAGAGTAAAATCATAAATTTTGATTTTGGCTGTTATTAATTATTTTATGGATGCAAACTTTGATACTATAAATGTGACTAATGTACAGAACTGTGTATTTAAACGCATATTGTTAACCACACCACACACGGTACTACTATACGTTGTTTGTTGTATCTTAAATGTGTATACCAATACATTAAAGATTATAATCCAAATTAGAATTTAATTTCATAAGCCCATCGCCAAAAATGTTTTTGAACCTTAGTAAAATGCATCATTACATTTATACGACATAATAAAGGTTAAATTACATAAAAAGTTTAAATAAAAAAAAGGAAGCTATAAATAATACACAGGAAGTGTTTTATTAACTTATTTATTATTAATTTTTTTTCTTATGAACAAGTTGTAAGCCTACACAGAAAAGTTATGGGATTATAGAATACTTCACAGACATTTTTTATACAAAAACTTATATTTTATACATACGAGTTTTATGCATAACAATTAATTGAGACAAGTTAATTTTGTCCACAGTATTAAGTGATCTTGTTGAAGCGATTTAATGTGTTTTGTTTGATAAAATTATACTATCAAATTAGAAATAATGCAAAACTTAGACCAGACAAATACTAGTAATCTCGTTTTATAAAATATAATAATTTAATAATATTTGATTAACGATTTTCATTAACTTTATGAACACTTATTTTATTATTTTACTGATGAATTTAGAAAAATTGAAGTTGGTTATATTTTATACTGTTTTAGTTTGTTTTGTATAAACTGTATAAATTATGTGATTATGTTTACAGATTACTAAGTCTATAATGCTGATACAATAATATTATAAAATAAATAACTTGAAATAACTAATTGTATTATTGGGGAACAAATGTTTGTGTTTTAAATGTTTTTCATAATTCATGCATATTCAGAATGATTAAATATTTAAAACCTTTATATATTATGGAATATTCATCTGTTAATATAGAATTTTTCTTATTTTATACATTTTACATTATAATTTCAGATATAGAAAATTCTTGACTTAATATTTTAATGATCTAATTATGTATAGCAGTCAAATTCATTTTTAACTTTAATCATAATTCGAGTAACGCTAAAAACAAGTTGAAACTAGTATATTTGAAAACTTTTAAAAACACGAGTACACGTAACTCGAATCAGTATTTAAAAATAAAAAAAAATCCCGAAAAAAATGTCACTGTTAAAAATTAACCACTATCTATAAATAGCCCGAAATAGGTAGCCTTTACATTTTACATATAATTTAGCATTCATGTACATATAAAAGCCAAATAAAATCCTTTATAAAAAAAATACAATTAATATTTACTTCATTAAAATTTAAATGTTTTTATGGCAAAGTAAATTATCATCAATGTGACGTTGATATCCAGAGTACTTTTTAATTCGAATCAAACAAACATGTTAACAAATATAAATAACCATTTAGTATTTTTGAACGAACAACATTCATTTGTACACGATTTATTGATTACTGTAGTAGTAATTATAGTAGCCTGACTAATAATAAAGATAATGTTTGTTTTATTTTATTATTTTATTTTTTATGAGGATAGTGGTTAAATAACTATATTTACTAAAATGTCAACTGTGTTCCTATTCAGGAACGTTGTGGTTAAAACACCAAATTCCTAACGTCAAATTTACATACAAATAATTGCATGAACAACATTTATTAATATAGGTACCTATCTATTATCGTTTTTCTTTAACTACAACAAATAAATGTATAAATGAAATAGATTTTTTTTATATAATTTTTGATCAGTCAGACTCGTTAATTCAAGTATTACCTGTCAATGTTATATATTTTTTTTTCACTTTAATTCACATTAGTTCAAATAGTTTATAATTAATAGTCTCACCAACACACACTCATCGCATAGCAAAACCAAAATAACGAGCTACTCATCAGCCCTGTTATTATAAGTAAAATATGGACGTAATGCGTATAATATAATAAAGCGTTTAACGTCACGACTGAATACCGCCGGTGGAGCGATGCTTTGTCCGGCGGCATTTATTACGTTATTTGCAAAGGTCTATCCCTTGTTGCTCGTAGTCTCCAGTTTCAAATGCCATAATGCCATGTGGCGACGGTCACGACTAATTTATCGGCAGTTTAAAACATTCACGTTATAAAAAGAGAGAGACCGAGCGAGAGAGAGGCATAATGTGAGAGGGTGATAAAGGGAGGAGAAGAGGACAATATTTTGGGATCACGTAATTTATATGCCTCTCACGAATAACTAGTATAAATTCCACTCCATAACAACGACAACGATGACGATAATGATAATGGCAATGGTTAGCGTTGATGATTATGATTATAATAATAATAATAATAATATGGAAGATACACGTCGATATTGTTGTAATAATAATACTTAAAATGACTATAGTACGTGTGGTAAGGATAATAAACTAATGTTTTGACTTACCGTCCTGGTTCCTTTTTTGTTTCAACGACAATAACACCTGGAAAAATAACAGAAAAATGTCTTATAACTGAATTTGTTTTAAGATAATATGCAGGTAGTAGTAAAAATTGATTCATTTGATGTAAATTACATGTATTTATAATGCACAGAATACATAATATTACCGTAGTTCGACGATGAGCGATTATTATGTATTGGCCAATTGATTTTATAAAAATGAAAAAGACACGAATATATGTAATTATTTATAACATTTTTAGAAGCATAATTATTAATCATAATCATTATTGATTTATTACATGCGCTCGTTTAGAGGATCGTACCTATATGTTAGCCAATAATTACATGATCAAACAAGCTAAAAAATTGTTTAACTTGTCAACTTAATTTTTGGAACATTCTTAAAGTCTTAGTGTTTTTCGTACATTAGCAATACAAAGTCATCGTAGTTAGTTTTATGGATAAATCATTTAAATCGTTTTCAGACTGTAGAATGAGTAATTTTATTTATTTTAATCATACAAATTTGTATCTCAAAAACAAAAACACCCATATAAAATACAGAAATGGTTGTATTTTAGATTCTGAGTGGAACGATGAATGTATTGATTTTACAATGATGTGTGTTTTTTTTTAATTTTTTAATTTTTTTTTAAATTTTTATGTCTGTCATCGCCTTTTAGGACAGTAAAAGTGCTTGGATTTTCTTCAACAGTACCTTTTCTGATAGGAAAGTGAATCTAATTGGTACTTTGGGGGGGGTCAAAAGTAAAAATTTTAGTTTTTTTTTCTATGAATATCAATCAGGTTTTTTCTGTTGGGTCAAAAAGTTTAAAAATTTAATACAAGGCTCCTGATATAATGTTACAATAGCAGTTGAAAAATATTAAAAATACATAGGCACAATTTTTTTTATAAGAATTTAAAGATCAAATTTTGACAAATTGTATCCATTTTAAAATTTAAAATTTAATAATTCTTTGTAGTTATAAATTTATAAGATGTTCAACTTTTATATCTAAGGATTGAAAATTTAAAACAAGATTAAATATAAGTAGCTTATTCTGTTATCAAAAAATCTAAAAAATACACGAGTACAGTTTATTTTTATAGTCATTTTAAGTTGAAATTTTGACGAAATTACATATTAAAAAACCTAAAATAACTATTTTAGTTATTTTGTTGTGATTGTATAATATTATTCGTTCGTACTTGAAATTTCTAAAGTGTACTATTATATATCTATGATAGTATCACGGTTTGTTGTTGATGTATAACGCGTTATAAGTGCCTGATGAATATTGTGATATGATTAATTTGGAATTTATAATAGGTATCTATTATAGGTCAATATTTTTTAAAATACCATATATATGTATATAATTATATGTCTTAAACATAGACTGACATACTGTCTCCGCTCAGAATCGTTTTTCCTATAAAATGATATTATATCATTGAATTAAAATTTAATACCATCCATTATACAGTGACCCACTTGTAACCTACTGTACAGCAGAGCACCTTTTTTTTTATTCACATCAACGTTTTCAAGATATTGATTTACAAGATAAAAGGGATTCATATTTTTATAATAATATTTCATATTTATTAAATTTACAAGAATTAAATAATGCAGTGATTTCATTTACTAAGTATAATAATCAGGTACAATCCAATATCCTATGAAGTAAATAGTTAATTCATTCCAATATATACATTTGTATAATAAATTTTTATTTATGTTAATAAATCTTAGAATAAATAAATAAACTCATAAATATTATAATATCTTAAGAGAACGCTACATATCGGCATGCGTGTTGATTCAGTCTTATAAATATACAACATAGCAAAAACTGTTTTAGCTGGACAAGTTTACCCCCTCTGTAATTATAGTAGAATTACCAAAATTCCATAACGCATAGAAAAGAACTTTATATGTGGAGTAGATCTTTTATTATTAGGATAACATAAATACAATTCAAGTCAACAGTTTAAGAACATTAGGTTTTTTACACACGCTGGTGTAGTGTCTTTCGGGTAAGACACAAATATGAATTTTTTTAATATAATATGCAGAGTATTAGAGTTACAAACTGTAATAAGTAATATGGATGTCTCTTACCGATTGAAATTACTATTACCTAGGCAAATTGTAAATGGTAAATCAAAATACTTCTGAACTTTACTCTGTAAATATGAGAGTAGATTTTTTCGGAAACAAATTGTGTTGTCGTTTGACGAAGTTTTGTATTGTATTTTTTCAAACCGATCGCCAGTTTTAAACAATGCATTCAAAACGAGTATAAAATAATTACGAGTTGTTAAATGTCGTCACTCGTCAGCGCGTTGAGAGTTTTCATGTAGGCTGGAGAGATTCTCACTGGGATGGAATTGATAAAAAATATATATATATATAAGGTAAAATATGTGTTCAGGTACGTCAAAGCAATCGTTAGCCGAGAGAAAAAAGGAGAATTTTATTTTTACGGCTGTTAAACACATACACAACACATACGTTTGGCCTAGCGCACTGGGCTGTTGGTTGGGGGAGGGGGATGCTCAGATGGGGGTAGAAACCGATCAGCCATGATGTTTATTCAAACGAACGTTTCCTGCTTTATCCTTGTGTAAAAATACAGTGCTTGTTTTCTCTCTACTGTATTATGCTCAAGTAGTATATTATACATATACAGTATTCACGCATACACTTGTGAGCACATACTCACGCCCAAGTTATTCGAAAATAATTTAAAAGGCACTGTTTTGTGACAACTACGTAATTGACTCTCCGTCTCGAGAATCCTGGCAATACATGCACGGTCCACTAGTTTAACAAAATGCGTTCCCGAGAAGTGAAACATGATTTGGATGGACGCCTAACGGATGGAACTTTGCTGCTTTTTGCCCTCGAATAATACACAATTTGAACGACTACCCCGTCCGCCTGGATAGTAGACTCTCCTAGATCGGTCGAGTTCAAGAACATAAATCACCCGAGACGATACTATATACACTTAATACGCACACACGCGTATTACATCCATTATTATACTTGTATGAATCGAGTTAAAACTCATTGAACCGAAACAGGGCTATCACCGAGAATAAAAAAAGGTTTGTGTATTCGATTCATTTTGAAACGAATATATTATATTATTCTGATATTGTTTGTTTTTTTGTGAATTGCAAAAACAAAATAAATAGAATACAAATTCATAATTATATTATATACATAGGTATAATATTATACACATATATAACCACACAGACACCTATATTATCACCTCACATCCAAGGAGATAAACCAAACCAAACAGGTAGGTATACTTCACTTTTCAATAATTATATTATATAATTGGAATACATTTTTTTTTACCAAAGCGATAATAAATTAAATAATTTGATGTATAATGATAATTCATAAATAAGGTTAAACATAAAGTCAATATTTTGTCGACTTGTTCAAAAAATAAATTTATAATATGTGGTAGGTATAGGTATTATACGTTTAATTTTAATCCAAAGCTTTGGTTTTCAATTTAAATAACTAAACAACCTTTCAACACTTCAATTATATAATATCAATGATACTAAAATTGAATAAACAATTATAACTTACAGATTTTGGTTATGAATATAATTTTTTTTAATTATTTACAAATATTTAATTAATAAGTTCAATAAATATGAGGGAATACAACACGATATTGAAATACACACCTAAAACTCTTCAACAGTGTGTGTTCAGTAACCGGAATGATCAACTCAAATGTTTTTTATGCTTATTTATCTTTACGTATAACACAATATGTAATATATGTTGACTGATTATGCCTTTGATTACCGTAAGAGCCAAGAGGGGCATGAAAAATTGCATTAATTATAATTTTATTAATAATATAAACAACTATCACAGTCACTCAACCTTCATAGAAGTGGTTATTTTATGATAGGCAAGAATATAATACAATTGAGTAGGTATATAATATATATCATACAGTCAATATTTTTATATTATTTGACGTAAAATTAAGGAAAAACGTAAAAAACAGTGTTATAAAGAAATAAGAATTAAACAATTACAATTGAATAATAATAAATACATTTAACATAGACATTTTCACATTATCTTTTAAATGGCTTAAAAATGATGAATTGTACAAACATGGTACATGATCACACTATTATCAATACAATGACAGTGTTTATCGTAAGTAGAGAACTTATTTTTTCGACATAAATCTTACATGATGCTCTTTTTTAACAAGTCAAGAAAATAGTTGGGAAACTATAAATATTCATAATATATACCTTTATTAATATAAAGTATTATTATTAAAGTATAAAATATTATTGTTGGTATAACAGAAAATCTGTTGAGATTTTATTATTTCTCTTGAACTATTTACTGAGTAATCAAATACTTATTAAAAAAAAGTTACATAATATTTTAAAAACGAAAGCAAAAATTGTTATAATATTGATACATAACACTAAACTTCATAGCTTTAATAAAAAATTTAAGAAACTACAATTTTAAATTTAACTTATTTTTAATAAAAGTTAAGTCAAGTTACTATGAAATATTTGATATTGAAATTTATATAGACAATATTTTACATTAAAACTTTTTATGTGAGTAGAAACTATAATTTTTAAATTGGTAACAAATAATTAAGTCCATAGATTATTGATACTCGTATTAGCGTATTATACATGAATACGTCATAAAATATACTTTATTTTTTATAGGTGATAAGTGTGAATATAATATTATTTATATTTGGTGACATCGTTACAATAATTTATTGTTTTCTAAAACAAAACATATGACCATATGGGTACACTAGAAAATAGAAATATTAAATTATGTAACACATTTTGTTCAAGAAAATGTTCCATCACTTGACTGAACGTGCATAATAAGTTATACGGAACTACAGCATTATTATTAAATGCGAGATAATGTTTGAAAATCAAAACAAATTTTGTTTTTCGAATGATTCAAATGTGAATGATAATAATTCTGTTGTTGAATAGATAGTTGGAAGAAATATTACAAAAATATGTATAAATAATGATCAGTCATTCCTGACGTTGAAATTTCATA